ACAAAAACAAAAACAAAAAAACTCCCAGAGGATCATGAAGCCTTGTCAGTATCCATAAAATTCACCTACTTGGAAATAGCATCTTCACAGAAAATTAAGACGTGGTTATTAGGATTGACAGTAACTTAATTAATATTCATGTAAGATGAAGAAATTTGCATAAAAACAACATATCCACAAGCAAGACACAAGGGCTCACTACCTGCAAACCAAGGAAAGGGTGATGCCAGTTACCAGAAGCTAGAAGAGAGGTCTAGAGGGTTAGAAGAAACCAGTCCTGATCATCAGATCAGTGAGGGATTTCTAGCCCCAGAGCTGAGACAGCACATTTGGGTGGTTGGGGGGGGGGGGGGGGGGGGGGCATTGCAGCAGCATTAAGGAAGGCATTCTTCTGGGCAGGATCAAATGTCTAGTCTCCAGCCTTTTGACAGTATTCCCATAATCCGTTTCACCACCTTGGAGGGGTCAGTACTGTCCCCACAGCTCCAAGCTCTCCTCTGCCTCCCCATTTCACTCCAGTCACAAGTTCCTTTCCTTCCATGGCCCTTTATGTGTTTCCAGTTCTCCAATACGTATTTACTCAATTCCACATTTTTAATTCACTCTGTCAAAGTAGCCAGATGTTTGTTTCTGAAAAGACATCTGCCTAGAGCAGGGTGGATAGTTCAGCGTTAGAGTGTGCCTACCATGGGAGAGGCATCTCATTAAGCAAAGGAGAACCAAAGATCCCATACAACCTGGAACCTGGATGCTTCAAGAAATCACCATTCTTGTCATTTTCTGTCACTCTCTTGTGTCCACTGTTGAGAGCTGAGCCTTGTTGCTAATCCCTGGACATCCCCATCTTGCCTACTTCATCCAGTTTGCTTTCCTGTTCCTTATGCTCTGCATATACACAGCTCACTGCTCTAATCTTCATAACAGCCATTCCTTTAAAGGCCTGTGCCTTCCTTCCCTATCATCTCTTTTCCCTCTGTCAATCTTGGACATCTGATATAATCTATATCTAGAAGTTATCTGCCTCTGCCATTAGAGGAAGTTCCACTCAAGTTTTAAACAGTGTTTCCAGTGCCTAGAGTAGAGTCTTGAACACAGGTACTTATTTGAATATTTGAGGGAGGAGCACTCACACACATGCCAATGGATGTCATGATGTATGTAGAACATCAGAGGACAAGTTATGGGAGCTGGTTTTCTCCTTCCATCATTCAAGTCTCGGGGATCAAACTCAAATTATCAGGCTTGGGGCAAGTGCCTCTATCCACAAAGCCATCTTGCTGGCCCAAGTACTAACTTCAACAAGGAAGGTTAAATAACCAGAGATAAAGACAGCCAGCTATCCTGCCACTGTGCCGGTCACTCTCCCTGAACTATGGCCAGTCTACAATTGTTAGATAATATGTGGTCTTTCTCTCCCTCTATGGAGTCATACGGCAGTCCGTCATTTAACTTGAAAAGACGAGGTCTAAAATTCTTCACAATGGGTGTACACTCAAATGTCTGTTCCCCCTGTTGACAATAAAAAGATTTTTTTCTAACTCATTCAAAGCTTTCAGAAAGTATCAACTCAAGGAAGATGGCCAGTAGGTAAGATTTATTGCGAGTTGGTCACAGTAACATAAGAGCAAATTGGACTCAGCTGGGGTGATCAAAAAGAGAGATGTCTAATTCCTGGATCTGGTACGTATAGCTCATTCACACATGATAAAGTTTCTTACAGTCACCAACAATGCATGGACGAAGATAAATGCAGTATGTACATGCTTCGTAAACAAGGTATAATGGCTGGAAAACGACCCTTCTGATTCTGTCCAGGTGTGCAAAGGCTCTGCTGGCCTGTTGCAGCCTCTGAGGAGGCTTTTTTAGGAAACACCGAAGTGTTGATGCTTGATTCCTAACAAATTAGATGGTTCATCTGCTGTGGGAAAAGTTGCGTCTGGAGGAGAGAAAAATCAGAATTTAGTCCACCTGTAAAACAGGAGTCAGTGACTATTTCGAAATTCTGTCAGTGGCAGAGGAATAAACTTGGGGTCCCATGAGGGATCTGATTACTTGCCTTTCATATATTGTGCACGGATAATTTCTGGTTGCATGTGTCAAGACAGAACAAAGAAGTGATGTAGCTCAGTTGGGAGGGTGTTTGCTTTGCATGTATAAAGCTTTGGGATTCTTTAAATTTTTATTTATTCTTCTTTCATACAGTGCCCTCCTTCTAGTTCCACTCTCCTCTCCCCCAGATCCTCCTCTTCTACCCTCCCTCTCCACCCTTGTGCTCCTCAGAAAAAAAGCAAGCCTCCCAGAGTACAGCAAGCTACAATAAGACCATCATGTCAAGGCGAGGCTACACTCGGCAACCCAGTGGAAGTAAAAGGCTCCCAAGAGCAGGCGAAAGAGTCAGAGACACCCCAACTCCCACTGTCAGGGGTTCCCCCAAAACAACAATCCAACAAACACAACATCCATGCAGAAGACCCAGCTCAGACCCAAACCTGCTTTGTGGTCACCGTTTCTGGTTCTGGGAGCCGTCATGAGACTTCCTCAGTCGACGCCTCAGGCCATGCTCCCAGCTTTCCTTGACCCCTCTTGCTCCCACAATTCCTCCTACCCCTCTTCCAAGGGTTCAGTGGGTTCCCTGAACTTCCACACTCTGAGGGGAGGGACCCAACGGGAGAGACCCAATGGACAGCTTCAACCTGGGTCTTCTCTCCACCTAATGACTGGCTGTGGGGTCTCTGTGGCGTCTCTGTATTTGCTCCCATCAGCTGCCTGAGGCAGCCTCTTTGATGATGACTGGACTAGGCATCCATCTATGAGTAGAGCAGAACATCATTAGGAATCATTTCACTGATATTCACTTATCTATCTATTCATTCATTCAGTCATCCTTTCATTCAGTCATTCATTCAGTCACATTTGGTTCTACCCTGGGCCTTGGGAAGCCCTGGAATTTTATTCTGAGCAGTCCCTCACATAGGCAGGAAGGTCCTCATTTGCAATCCTGACACAAAGGAGGTGGGTGCAGAAGAATCAGTCATAGTTCAAGGTCATCCTTAAAGCATAAGGCCAGCCTACAGCACGCAATTGTCCCAAGTCGAAAAGAAGGAAATAAGCTTGTCTCCTTTAGATCACATATGAATGCTCTGCCTCTTTACCCTTAGGATCAGAGCTTATAACAGAAGCATAATTTTGTAAAATCGAGTAATAGTTCGCTCCAGATGCCCTTGGTCTGGAAGCACACAGCACAGAAGTACACAGGAAGGCCTGACCCAACGCTATTGACATGAGTTTATGGCTTAAAAGTGGGAACGTGAACGACTAAGATGACTTGAGAAGAATCTTCACTTTAGGAAAAGACGTTAAACTAGGATTAGTAATAAAGCCTAAATGCGTTGTAGACGGGGTTCTGAGGTCTGAGTTACCTGGGACCATGCCAGTGGCTTGATCTCAACAGAACTCCTCTCAAGAACTACGGAAGTGAGAGCTTTTAACATCTTAAAGTCCTTACTGTGATTTATTTGATGGTCAAAGACTTCTAAGCAGGAGGACTGTTGGATGAAGCACATGGGAAGCCGAGTGGTTTTCTCCATAAGCTGTACACGTTAGACTATGGCATTCTATGGGAAAGTGTTAGGTCTGTCTCCCGGGCATTTGCTTTATCTGAGGCCAAATGTGTCAGCAGGCCTTAGGTTTCTTCTAACAGGTCACTCCTGTTGCTTAAAAACCCTAACTTCACACATAAAATGTAATTCAGAACCCAGGGACTGAAAGGGACAAGGCTCACCAAGCCTCTGATACCACTTTAAAAGTAATTAGTTTCCAGACTCAATCACCACCAACTTTCATGGGAGCCTGGTGAAATCTTTGTCCAAATATGGTGAACATTCCTCTATTGCCAAAATGGGAAAAACAGCCTTATCCCCTCATCAAAAGCCATCCACCAGGAAATAGGCTTCCCCGTTAAGTTCCCAAATAGACAAAAATCATGTTCTGTGTGCAGCTCCTGGGAGGCATGTCCCAGAGCGGACTTGCAGGGCTCCGGTAAACATGAAATCACAGCTCTTGATAATGTCAACTCCTTTCTCAAAACGCTCTAGGCAGAACTTGTCCAGTTAGGGGAAACGTAAATTTATTTGTACACACGGAGCTACTAAGTGGGGCTTGTGCTTTTGCTCTTTGGAGACTAAATTCCTCCTCCCCTGTATTTGCATACCAGAAAGTTTGTGCACGCAAGTACTTTACAAATGCCTACTGAACAGCTAGCTTGAGATCTCCACAGGTGTCTCCCAGAGGACTTAGTCTGGGGTTACAGGTGGCCCCTTTGGGGCATCTTGCCTAGGTCCAGCCCGCATACCCCCGGAGAAGCACCAGGTTCAGCCTGCTCTGTGATACCCGCCGCTGCAGTTGCTCCAGGAACTTCAGCAAGGACCTGTGGGTGGCCCTTTCAGACGTCTCCAAACCACCTCAGCCTACGCAAAACCTCGCAGCATCTGGGTTCTCTCTCTACGTCTCGAGGCTCGCTGGAGACCAGCGGCATTTGTCCACGCCAGAGAGGAAAAGGCACCCACGAGCTCCCAGCACCGGCTGCAGCCCGGGGTCCGTTCCTCCCCGGGCTAGGGAACTAGACCGGAGGAGCGTGGGCAAAGCCAGGGAACCGCCCCTCCCTATCACCTCCCGCGGTCCCCTCTTACTCACACGCGGTGTGGGAGCCCGGCACTTTCACCCCAGGCTGGGCACCGCGGCCGTGCCACCCCCACCCCCGCGCGGCGGCGTCCCGGGAGGTTCCGAGCCCGGGGGCTGGCTCCGGGGCGCTGCCGGCCCCCTCCCCGCCCTCCTCCGCCCCCGCCCCACCTCCGCCGGGGGCCCCCTCCCCTCTCCCCCACCCCGGGCGGGGGCGCGCGGGCGCCGGTGACGTCAAGGGGCGCGCGGTGGCAGCACCTCCCCGCGCGCTAGTTAAAAAGAAGAAGAAAAGAGGGAGCGAAACATGAGAGGCTGCGTGAGAAGCTGCAGCCGCCGGCAGAGGAGACCTCAGCATCCTCGGAGCCCAGCGCCCGCCCTGCCTCCGCCCGGCCCGCCGCCCTGTCGGTTCCCGCTGCTGTCCCACTCAAGCAACCCCCACTTAGCGGGCGAGCGGGGTTCTACGGCTGTCTCTGCTCTCCTTCCTCCTCCTCTTCCAACTCCCTCTCCTCCCACTTCCCAGCCGCCGCGGAAAGCCCCTAACCCAACTGACGCTGGCCGCGGGCGGTGTCACCGCGCTCCGTCTCGCCGCTCCCGCCGCCCTAAGGCAAAGTTGCATAGCTCCACATCCTTCTCCCCGCCACCTCCCTCGGCCTCGGAGCGTCCCGCCGCCCCGCAGCCCTCTCCTGGAGCTGCGCCCTAGTGCCCCTGCTGGGCAGCGGCCTTCCCGCCCCCCGCCCCCCATCCTCCCGCGCCCTGCCCTCGCCGCTCCCGGCAGACGATGCTGAAGATGCTCTCCTTTAAGCTGCTACTGTTGGCCGTCGCTCTGGGCTTCTTTGAAGGGGATGCCAAGTTTGGGGAAAGGAGCGAAGGGAGCGGAGCGAGGAGGAGAAGGTGCCTGAATGGGAATCCCCCCAAGCGCCTGAAAAGGCGAGACCGGCGGATGATGTCGCAGCTGGAGCTGCTGAGCGGAGAGGTCCTGTGCGGTGGCTTCTACCCACGGGTATCCTGCTGCCTGCAGAGTGACAGCCGCGGCTTGGGGCGTCTGGAGAACAAGGTAGGCACTCCCCGGCCCCGCAGATGCGCCTTGCTGAGATGCTGATAGCGGCAAGAGAGGCTCAACTTATTTGGAAGTTCTGATAACTTTTTCTTAACGTGATTAAGTGGTCCGGGCGCGTTTTCTCAGTGGTGTGCAGATGGCCCTTCCTCTCTGGAGTCCGTGGTGGGGATGCTGGTGAAACTTGCCTATCTGCAGAGAGAGATGTTTCTGTGGTACCCGCGTCCTGGGCTGGGTCAATATTTTAAAAGAATGGGAATTAATAGTGTATTTTGGATCAAATAGAGCACTTAGTGAGGTGGAACTGTAAATTAGGGTGGCTGTGGTTTCCGGTTTATTTTTCTGGGGGGGAAAAAGATTTGTTCAGTTTTCCCCACGTGCTCCAACTAGTAAGCGGATTGAATTCTAAAGGCTGTCGAGGCGGGCGCTGTTGGTTTAGCAGCCCAAGCCCAGGCTGAAGGGTCTAGCTTGCATGACAATGGTTAAACCAGAGGAAGGGTTCCTTAAGAACTCTGAGGTTTTGCTGGAGCCTCTTACTTGAAGGTTTCTCTGTCTTGTTGTAATATTGTAAATCCAGGCTTTCACAGGTATTGCGTTGTCTAGGACTATCTTGTCTGGAAACTCATTTTTATGAGTGATGACATATGCACTTCCCATGCGTTGATTAGTTTAGTCAAGAAGGGTCTGCCCAGTGCAAGACATCGTTGGTCTTGATTTCTGTACCAGATTTTTCTCGTGGGATACTGTGCTGTGTGCTGTCCGTGGGATCCTGTCATTAACCATCACTGCGCGGGGTGGGGGCAGGGGGACAGTCAGATGTTTTTGCTCCCTCTCTCTTTGCCCTTCTTAGGTTTAATTAAGAATTCCTCTGTTACAACCCTGCAGTTGTCAAGGTCTGAGAGACTCTCGGAAAACTTGTGCTCCACTCTTGCTGGCCCAGGCATTAAAAAAAAAAAAAATGCCCAGGCTGAATCTAATTTTTATGCTCAGTTCACGGTAGATTTCACCCTATTATCATGTAAACAGCTCCTTCGAATCAACATATGTGTCTGGGTGGTACCTCTCACTTTGTTTTGTAACAAAAAGCCATATTGCATCATTTAATTTGCTCAAGTCATGCAAATAGGAAAAAAATCAATAGGACAAAAAGGGGTCGACTTATCCTCCTCCCCACTAAACTGCTGCCCACACACAGCGTCCTGTTGCTTATGGCCAAAGAATAACAACACCACCATTGTATTTGTTAGTTGGTTCACTAATGGGTGAAACTAGAGAACATCATTCTCTTTCAGTCCCCAGCTCTGTCCAAATGTTCATGCCTTTTGAGGGAGCGTTTGTCCGACTCGTTCTATTCCCAGATGAGTGAGAGCTGTCTTGCCGTGGGTTTCAGCTGCAGCTCACTCTTTATTCTTACCATATGCAGCAGTAGTGTGAGATGGGGCGACAGATATGCCAGCATTTTATTCACAACAATGTCATTAAGCCCCAGCCTCCTAATTGAATGAAGCTACAGAAACATCTCAGACCGAGCATCTTAAAGGCTTCTCCAGAAGTCCCCACCCCATCCCCAAGGGGGAAACTCAGAGAAAGGTGTGGAAATATTTCCTGGCCGTGCAGTCTCCCTGTGTGTACTGTATGCTGACCAGAGCAAGGATCCAGAGACCCTTGCAATACTGACCTCTTCCAGAAACATGTGGAATGCAAACTTTGTTCTGAACCAACTATGGTGTGGAAAAGGGACAAGGGGGCAGATGGAGGGGAGATTATAATCCTTACGGAGGTTACATTAGAAAAACTTAAGAAAAATAATTATTTAGGAGAGGTCTGCCATGTGAGCTGTGCATGATCCTGTCTGAGCTCTTCCACTCTCCACCAAACTCTGATTCATTGGGAAAATGTGTGAACCAAGTTGGATTCAGCTGTGCTGCTCTAGTGCAAGTGGTTTATAAACAATACTCAGATTGTTCAAGGCAGAGACTTGGTACAGCCATGCCCAAGTATTCTTGACCTTCGTTCCCAAATTTTAATAAGTTTTAAAAACACGTTATTTTACAATAAACATTGGTGTTTCCCCTTTCCCCGTAGCCTTCCCATATTATATGTTAGGATATTATTTTATAAATGTGTATACAAGAGAGATGGTGGTTATTTGAATGAGACATTTATTGTTGTTGTTGTTGTTAAAAAAAAATCCCAGGAAAAATTTTTGCATTTCTTCAATTTTTCAAGGAAAGTACTACTGTAGCTTTTTCTCAGGGGAGAAATTTCTAAGACAAATGGATAGTGAGCAACTAACTACTCAGAAGATTGAATGTGGTCAGCTAAGCAGTTAAATCCAGTTGCTAGGCTAACAAACTTTCTTCAGTAACGAACATTTAGTTCAGTTTCCCAGACTCCATGCTATGTTCTTATAGTTGAGTTCCTTGTAGGTTTTAATAATGTCATGTAATATAATTAGATTGTTAACTATGATAACACATAAGAGATGCCAAAATTTCATGCGGTATGTTGTCTTAGCAAAATTGCTGCAGATCCTAAATACAGCATGCTAAAGGGATCTAATTCTCATTAGCTAAACTGAATCTACAGCCCACTAAAATACCTCATTTCTAAAACTTAACTTGTAGTCACAGAGAAACAGCCTCTCTCTCTCTCTCTCTCTCTCTCTCTCTCTCTCTCTCTCCTCTCTCTGCCTTGGTGGTTTCACAGCCAAAGCTGTCAAGGAATGGGTGAAAAGTAATTGTTTTCAAGTGTGCCCTTTTACAATCATTTGTTTGCTCTGGCTCTTGCAGGGACAAAGGCTATTGTTGAACACATCCAACTAAACAAATAACTCATCCTGGGGTCCCTTTAACAGCTGCCTTAGTACAATGATCTATTTACATATTAGCCTAAAATTGAAACTGAACTCTTTAATGACATAATCCAGCACTATAGCCCAGAGGCGCGTGTGCTCTGCCCAACAGCTGAAGTCTTGTAGGCATATGACTTTTTAGAAATAGCCTTTCTGTGGGCCAAGTGATCTCAAGGCGACATCTTAATATACTGTCCTGTATTTTCTCTGTTTATCCCTTCATGGAACCCATGTGGGCACCTCTTTACAGTCTTTGTTTAGTTACTTGATAAATAAAGAGGAACATGATGGGGGGGGTCTCTGCTACTTATTTCTCTGTTGATAAGCTGTAGCTGTGTACTTTCTTCTGCACCCTAATACTTACCTTACCTTTCTTCCCTAGATTTCACTTTCATGTGGCTAAAGATTGGAGGATGAGCTGCCAAAAGTTACAGATCTGTCAGCCACAGCCTCACCCTTCCCAGGCTGGCTGTAATCATGTTTACAAGCTTTACACCATTTCCAAAATGTATTTAGCTAAACCACTATAACTTGATGACTTTGTATTTGGCTTTTTAAAACTGAAACAGAAAATTAACCTAAATTTCTTCTTAAAATTCATGGCAATGTCAGGCATAAAGTTAAGAACCTGTATGTCTGGCATAGACATTTTGGAGTGGAGAAAAAAAAAAAGAAAAGAAGGGGTGTCACTGCCCCCCGCCAGCACACACACCAGGACTCATCTGTCTAAACCAGTGTTGTTGCTTGGACTGAGTCAGTTTAATTGACTTCAGTAAGACTATTGGTTCATTGAAACCGAAGCCAGAATGATGGCTCTATCTATCTTCAAATAGGTGTTTACACTGCAGACCGCACACGGAGTAAAATGTTACCATCCTGCTGGGCCAGAGCAGCGTCAACCTTAACAAGAATAATATTCTACTTGATTTCAGATAATTTATTGAACCCTATTTGTGAAACTTTTGATGAAGGATCTTGTGGGCAGGACACATTCCAAAAATTGTAAAAGACAAAATTCTTTAGGCACTAAAAGCAATTTCTTCCTGAAGAGCAGCTGGGAGAGGACATGGGATCATTCTGTGTTAGCTATTAAAAAAAAAAAAAAAAAAAAAAGAAGAAGCACAAATAGTCTCCATAAAAGCAAGGGTAATTACAGCCTCGTTTTCAGGCAGCAGAAGAGGTGGCTTCAGCTCTCTGCAGTTATTTGGTCCCTGAAGGATTGCTATATGCAAAATAAGCAGAATCAAGCTGTACACTATTCATACTGAATAGATCTGGTGAGGTCTCCAGGCTGGACAATAAACGACATTGAAAACATTCCTGGAATGCAAATTCTAAGTGTCTGGTGTATGTTTTCTTCTACAAAACTTGGACCATTTAAGCAATTGTCACTTAAACAAGCAGATAGAAATTAAAATGTAAATGCAACTATGATTAATAACTTTTGAAAACTCTAAGTAGCTGTAACATATACATGCTTTTTTATGACCTGGAACAGCCTCTTTCAGACTGTTGAAGACTCTCACTACAATTTGTTTTTAGATTACCTTGTCTTTTAGACCTGTTATTTTTTTTAATGACCCTTGTGATATTATAATCCAGAAAAACAGAGGCTATATTACTTATTCAAATTAGCTCAACTTGTAAAAAGAAATAATTATTTAAAAAACTAAACAATTTTCTAATATCTCAAACTTTTAATTTTAATGCACCATTCCAGAGAAATACTTAAGTAGAAGCCTACATTAAAACACTGTAAAATTCATACATGCTCTAGCATTTTGTGTGTGTATGTGGGGAAATCACTGATTGATTTCCCCACATACCCATTGAAGGAATCTTCAAACCAGGTTTCCAAGTGAAGACCGATGCGAAGACTTGCATCTACAAGTTATTAACTCAAGAAATCATCAGGTCTCTGAACTGATCTTACTGAAATAAAGGACATATCACTGTAAGAATAATAGCAAGAGTATTCTTTTCATAAAAATTCAATGTCCACTATACAAAAACACGTTCACTAAACTCTGAGTGTATTCATGCATATAAAATACCTAAGGAGCTAGCTAGAAAGTTTTTCCTGGCTTAGATATAATGAATATTAAAAACGGATCTTGAGCCCATTTGGTTCAGCTTTGGGTATTTCTATAGAGCATGAAAGGCAGTACCTAGCACTGCTGTCAGACTGGGAACAAGTACAAATGTACCAAAATGATATCTAAGTAGAGTTTTAAGTTGTATGAGGGGCTTTAGGAATTGAATAGATTTTTCACCAATGACACGAGTAAGCCATGTCTTTAAAATTACACTTAGGGCACAGTCAGATAAAGGTACAGGATTTTTAAGGTAAACAGCAACCAGCATGTGCCCTGGGGCAGAGAAAGTGAATCAAACATTCAACAGTCTATAAACGTCTTAATTTTAACAGCAGGAGAACAGCTTCACACACTTGGGTTTGCAAAGGCAAGACCAGCTTCTATGTGTCCTTCTCTGACCTTTGTCTCCCAACCCTGGCCTCAAAGATAACGTTTGTCCTTTTCAAAGACTCTATACTATGACACAGTCATTCTTTTTTTTTTTTTTTTTCTGAAGTAGACTTTTCTACTCACATGATTGAAAGGGGAAAGAAAACCTGACGAAGCTCACTTTTCTCATGACTAACAGGATGTATCTCTGATTTGCGGCTTTCAGATCTTTTCTGCCACCAACAACACAGAATGTGGCAAGTTACTGGAGGAGATCAAGTGTGCGCCTTGCTCTCCACATTCCCAGAGCCTGTTCTGCTCACCTGAAAGAGATGTCCTGGATGGCGATCTCGTACTTCCGCTCCTCTGCAAAGATTATTGCAAAGAGTTTTTTTATACTTGTCGGGGACATATTCCAGGTAAAAAACAAACAAACAAAAAACCTGCATAAGTTAAAACATGCTAAGAATCTTTCTAACTGTTCTTAAATGTTTGCCTACAAGAGTTGTAAATTGTGTTTTGCCTTCCTGTCTTACTTCATAATTAACTTTTCCAAATTCATACATTTATTGCTCTGGAAGAGAGTACTATAACTCGCGCTGACAAAGAGAACACTAACTTTGTTCTAAAGGTTTAAGTCTCTTATCAAGATAACATGTAAACTTTTTACACATTGGATTCTCAGTTTAACTTTATACATGCTGGGTTATTATCAGTCAAACCTTCTTCCTTTTCTTTTCTCTTTACCTCTCTGAACTCTACCCCCAGCATGGACATTTCTTGTTGGAGCCTTTTTTACAAGCATCTGTGTGAAGGCCACTGCCTCTGATACATAGCTGACATAGGACAAGGGAGTTCCTATTGGGTTTGCAGATATTCTTTAGGTAAAGGGTGACTAGGAATTCCCAAAAGAGACATCGAACCAAGCATTTTCACATAGAGTTACTAGATGCCCTAGAAATACAGTGAGGTGGGTAGAAAGGTAAAGCCCTGCTGTCAGGACAGAGGGGAGAAACTGAGCCCCAGGAGACCTCTCCTGCTCTGGTCAGAGCAGTCTGATGAGAGGAGGACGGAATTGCCGCAGGAGCTCTTCTGGACAGTGTCACAAAGACGCCGGGCACCATCATACTTCAGAGCCTAATAAACATGGACATCATCGTAGCTCGACTGTTAACGTATCTGCCGCACGAGCCCTGGGGCCTGAGTTCACACCCTCAGAACCCATGTAAAAAAAAAGACACAGCCATGCCCATGTGTAACCTAGGACAGGGATCACAGAGATTGGCAGATCCTGGGAGCTTGTGTGAGAGTCAGTGTCTGTATGGTTAAGGGAGAAGGAGAGTGATTGAGGAAGACACCCAGCATTAACCTCTAGCCATTACACTCATGCACACACGCATACACGCATACACGCATACACGCATACACTAGGCACAAACAGAGGAGGCACACACCTATCAATTGTGTAGCTGTCGTTTTAATTAGAAGAAACATGGAGGAAGAACATAATTTAACAAGACAGATTCTTGGTCCAAGTTCACACACAAGTCACTCCAGTGAACCACTTATAAAACTAAATGGTTTTTAAGAAAGAGGTAAGCCTGAAGTACAGGAGGATGTGACTCAGATAATTCGGGGAAAGTGCTATATATAGCTTGGTATTTTTCTGACCCACAAAAACGTAGACAAAAAATTTTGAAAGAACTCTATAAATAATAAACAATCCAGGTTTGCTTGCTCCCTCTGCATATAGTGTGGCGTGTCCCTAAATCCATTTAGATGTGAAAATATTGTTGTTTTTTAACTGTGGCCGTGCCCTGACTTTTCTTAAACTAGTTGTTTCCCCTCTTTATCACATTCCTCAACACCAAGTGGAACTGCTCACAGTAGCCTCCGTGGCCACAGAGAAGTGATAACAGATTGGAGAGCATGGGGGTCGGCTGCAGACTCCCTGCCTTTACAACGTTAGCCGAAAGGGATACCAGCACTTGGCTTCTTCATTAACTTTATCACTTCCCAGCAAACGCAACGTGCTAGATTCGCAGACTCCTCCACGGTGGTCTTTATATAGCTGAAGTTATTTTAGCGTCCAAAATAACAAAACAAAGATCAGCCGAGCAAACAGCCGAGACCAAACTGCGAGTGCATCATGCCCCAGATCAACATATGTGGTGACGAATGACAAATTTATTTTTCTACAAAGTTTGTGTATATGTAAAACTGCTGAAGTGCATCAAGATGTCAAGTGCTCTATGTGGCCACCCAGGCTGCCTGGAAAGATAGCCCCATGAAGGCTCCACTCCAGAAGTGGAGAGAGCACTGAGGGCCCAGAGACCCGGGGGCCTTAGCAGCAAGCTGGGGGACAGCCTTTTCCTACGTCACTGCTGACAGTAATTTTAAATGCTTGTCCCCAAAGTGAGCTGTAAGAACACACTCTGCGGCCTTTGTGTTCATTGATTTACTGGCCGGTCAGAGCCGCAGCAGGTAGGCTACCATTCCCTACACTGTGACAAACAGACGGGGAGTCCTCCATCCAGCCCTGCCTGCAGCCCAGAAGTGTGTCTAGACATCCACTACACTACCGATCTAGAAACCGTTAAAAGAACAACTTCGTAACTATTTCACCTGACGTCTGTCTTCTGGTGTACGCCTCTCGGTAATTCAAACCCATGGGAAACAGCTATGTTGATATTCCATTTTTAAGAAACCAGGTCAGTGTATCTCAGCTGCTCCTGCCAACGTCATCTTCTTTCTACAAATCAAACCCCTGAGAAGGAACAAAGCCCAAGGAATGTGTTTTGTATAAAGAAGTAAAATTATGGATGGGATTATAACAAAGTAATTTCAGAAATTTCTTTCCTTGTCCTATATCACTCAAAAATGTACTTTATCATCTTGGCTTTAAGAAAACATGACCACCTTAGAACATACTTAGAAACTGAAAGGCAGTGCAGTTCTAGAAATTTAAATTCAGAATAATCGGGATCTACTTATTTTCCTAAAAAGTAGAAAACCAACTCAAAAGCAGTAAAATTGAGTAAACTCTGGGCTATTAATCAAAATGTTCTCCATTTGTGGACTTCTCAAAAAAGGTGATTTCGTGAAAATTTCTCTAATGCCAAAATTGCTTACCCCATGGTCTTTTCTTTGGCTTGAATGAGCAGAATAGATATTTTTTGTTCATTAAAGCTGGTATAATACACCCTGAGGAGGGCACATGGAGACACCCATTGGTATTGCTTTATTCTTTGTACCTATTACCGTAATGATTTTTATCACTTCTAGACAGTCATGTCCCAGCAGTAGGTTCCAGTCGTGTGAAAGGTCTGCACCCAATTAGTTCAATTGGTTTAATCCTGTGGCTAATGAGGCCAAGGTCAAGGGTTTGAGTCCATTGAGTTTCTCCAGCTCTGACTCCATCAGATACCTAACACATGTGTCTTATTAGTCCCAGGGAGAAAACGCTAGAGGGACAGGATGGATACATCGAAAGCCTTCCTTCCAGGGCCCAGGAGCTCTTCCCCTTTCAGCATCATGCTGGATGAACTTCTGTAGAATACATACCGAGAAATAAACTGGAAAACATAATATGCTTTAGAGAGTACTTATTTTCCTGGCTAATATGTTTATAGGGGGCTGTGTGGGATAGCAGGATTGGACTCACCATCTTCGAAAATGGCTACAGACCCTGAAGGCTTGCTAAGTACGCAGGGGGGTAACAAACGCAGTAGCTCAGCATTTGTAGACCTGACCACAGTATGGTGATCCAGGCTGGGGTAAACGCATACCTGCAGTGAAAGGCTTCGGTGGATTCTTACAAACAAGGCTGTGAGCTTGGCCAAAACAGTCAGTACATCCGGTACACAAGGTTTATAAAGATACAGTCTTGCCTAAGGTTAAGATAGTCTATTTGAAAATGAGGTCTCATTTCCTAACATTTATCCCCAGCTTATAACACTCTTAAAAGTGAAACTAGTCATAGTTTCATTCATTAATTTTCTCTCAAAATGGTGCTGGTTTGCAGATACACAAATTGCTTTTCAAGCAAACTTGAATTTTTATTTTTCTTATTTTTACTCAAACAGATTTGGTTTTAGCACTTTCAGCTTTCAGCTGGGTGCTTAGCCACTGAAGAATGAGAGGAGAAAATTATGTTTTTGTGGTGAATTCCCAAAGATGAATGAATTCTCCCTTCCTTTCTGTTTCTGATACTAGCAGATTCTCAAAGGGAGAAAGCATCCTCATTGCCCTCCTAAGGCTCGTCCTCTGACTGTCAGTCCTCCTGTTCCACACCCTGCAAACTGTGAACCCACACCCCTGAGGGCACGCACAGTACCCTGCATGCCTGTGTGCACGTGCTTCTGAGGGCACACGCTTTGTCTGGCCTCCTTTTCCAAGAGCCCAGACAGAAATTGCCCTTGAAGAGTCTCTGTCAGCAATATAAAGGTGACACATTTCACCCAAAAGTGAGGTAAAAATGTAAACCCAGCTTTATCATGTGGGACACTTTCACCATAAGGTTGGTTTGTTCTGAGGTTTGGACTGAGCCAGGTCAAGCTCACTGGAAAGGAGCTTTGAGTGTCTTGCAACTCCACCGATAAACCTCGCTTGGCTGAGTCCCAAATCTGGTTCATAAAATTCTCAAAAAATCTGATTTTGTTATATAGTTTTTAAACTCTAAGTTACCAGATGCATTTATCCCAAAAGTAGTAGGCAGATAGAAAATTCCACTGATTCTGTAAGAATCAGAGCTTAGCTATAGTAAAGATAGGGAGTGAGAGGCATTTTTCTGGGTAACTGAGACTCTTGTCTGAGCTGACTCTGATATAAAACAGATCAAGCAGGGTTTTGTGTGTTTGTCGATTGTTTGTTTGTTTGCAGTGTTAAGATCAAGCCTGGGCTTTGGGTTGTTGGGGAGCACTCCAGCAGCTAGCCTCTGCCCAGATGCTGATAAGAACAGACTTGGAAAGCAGGAGTCTTCAGAATACAGACTTACTAACAAGCACAAGAAAGCCAGTATCGTAGTACCTCAGACTATGGATGTCAAAGTTTTTTTTTTTTTTCTATATTTTCCTTCTAGTCCAAAGCTTTTAATTTTATACACAAGGAGAGCTCTGCTTATAAAAAAAATCTTTGCAGGCTCAGGGAATGGCTCAGTCAAAGCGCTTGCTTTTCAGGCCTAAGGGCTGAGTTTAGTCTACAGTATGCATGTAAGCTGAGCACAGAGGAGTGGGTCTGTGACCCCAGAAATGGGGACACAGGGATGGGGGCTCCTTAGAGCTAGCCAGGATCATGGATAGAATCGGTGAGCTTCAGGGCCTCAGAAACTAAGGAGGACAAGTGAGGAAAACACCAGATGTCGGCTTCCAACCTCCACACTTCCACCTGTGTTCACACACAGACACACAGACACACACACACACAGACACACACACACACACACACAAACACAGACACACACACACACACACACACACACAGACACACACACCAACAACCTTAATGTGAAAGAAAAGAAAAATCATCTTTATTTCACCACCTGTTTATTAAATCTATCATATAATTTTCTTTTGGTTCAGGGGTGTGTTGATTTTTTTTCTTCCTAAGAAGATAGAAGAGATCATTTAAATATAGATTATCATTATCCCTTAGAGAAAAAGGTGCAGGGATAAAAGGCTTCAAAATGTTTGAACTAAAAGGCTTACCCTTAGCATCTTCCTTGCTTAAAGATTGCACAGGGGGTTATTAGTTTAATATAGAGGCATTTGTCGCCTCCACATCAAGGCATTGCATTGGGAAAACCGGCCAACGGTAGACTAGCTTAGTTGCCATGTGTTCTTTTTAGGAAGGTATTTAGTACTGTAGGGAAATTAGACTAATTAGTGATGAGGTAAGTTCACAAATGTAAGCTGTCATCAGTGAGGAAGCTTTAGAAGCTCAACACGGGAACTTTAAGAATAGAGAAGCCCTGTGACAGGATCCCTGGATTTTTATACCCCACCTTTCATATAGCCTTTCCAGTAGACCGCACAGTAGGGCCTGGAGGAGATCACTTACTTCTCTTTTGAGGGTCTGTGTTTCCAGCACCCATGCTGGCAGCTCATGACTGTCTGTAACTCCAGTTCCAGGGGAGCTGATGCCTCTATGGCTTCCTCACACTCCTGCACACACATGGTACACCTAAGTTCATGAACAAACACACACATCGTACGAACGGATAAAGAAGTCCCTTCGAAGTACTCAACATACGGTTACACTTTCACTGGAATTCATAAATGCATTTAAAGAAGAAAAGGGAATTCTAATCCCTACTGCCCTGCCCCGTGCCTTTCCCTTTCATATTGTTGTAGCCAAGTTCTCCCTGTGATTATTCATAGTTTCTAAAACTCCTCTTTGGTGAGAAGCCAAGTCTTTCAAATGAGCTAGTTTTGCTGGACTACCTCATGGTCCTAATGGCTCCTTCTATGTGTCTGTTTAAAGGTCTTCTTCAAACAACTGCTGATGAGTTTTGCTTTTACTATGCGAGCAAAGATGGGTTGTGCTTTCCAGATTTCCCGAGAAAGCAAGTCAGAGGACCAACATCTAACTACTTGGACCAGATGGAAGAATATGAGAAGGTGGAGGAGATCAGCAGGTTCATACAATTCAATACTCTTTACTTTTTTTTTTTTAATGCTCTTTACTCTTAAAGGAAAAAAAAAAAAAAAAGGAACAAGTCGGTGGTTTTGACAGCGACATACACCTCTATGCTTATGCTCAGGAGCTATAGACTCCACATGCATTAGTTCCTTTTCCTCCTGAGTAGTTTGTTCCCCTAAAATCATAGCTTAAACACATTTAATACTTAGACTCCTAATCCTACGTTATGAGCTTCGCTTCCCTGTGACTCATGAGAATTTTACGGGCACAGTGTTCAACTTGGATTTTATGATTGCTGTTAGCTTTATGGCACCATGGAAATATTCAGCACAATTATTATTAGCAAATCAGTTTTTTTATATAAATAGATCTCAGAACATTCTCTTTAAATGTCTTCTCATAAAGGTCCATATTTGTGAGTAAAAGCAAATTTTAATTATAGTCACTGAAAATAAGGTAATGAGCTAATGACATTTCAGAATAAACTATTTTGGTTCTCACTTTTCTTTCTGAGAAAATGATATCTTGTTATTTTTCCATTGAAAAAAGAATCCTATTGTAAGATACCTAGGCTAGCAGCCCTTCCTGATTTCCAAAATCATTGGCTCTTTGAAGAAATTCACTATGGAGAATGTATTGAGCGCCTCCTTCGGCGGGGGCTGACCAGTTTTCTCTGATTTGTCTAGAAAACACAAACACAACTGCTTCTGTGTCCAGGAGGTTGCGAGCGGGCTGCGGCAGCCTGTGGGCGCTGTGAACAGCGGGGATGGTTCCCATCGCCTCTTCATTCTGGAGAAGGAAGGCTATGTGAAGATCCTAACCCCAGAAGGAGAAATTTTCAAGGAGCCTTACTTGGACATTCACAAACTTGTTCAAAGTGGAATAAAGGTTGGCTTTTTACATTTCTTTATTTTGTTCTGGCTGTGTAGGCTTTCTCTTAAGTGCTCCCCTTTTCACTGGAGGTTTGTTTCTGTAATAAAATAAAGGCTATTTGAGAGGGAAAATAAGGAGATAACCCAACCCAAGAGATCAGAAGCTGAAAGGGACAAAGACACTTCTGCTTTATTTACTGGCTGTTAAGCAGTGCACTCAGAGTGATGCTTTGACATGCTTACCCTAGATGTTGTTCATATCTAAAATAACTTTTGCTTTTAGGTCTCTGTTGATGGCACACCATTTCATGTTACATACTCACATTTCCAATTAGAAACTGTAATTGATTTTTTTATCATGCCTTTTATTTGCTTGTGTCATTAGAAAAAAAACATTTCTTATACCATGACTTATTTGTACAATGCTTTTACAGGTAAGTCAAAATTTTTTATTAATAATTAGTCATGTGTAGAATACATAATTTGAATTCTTTAGTCAAAGAACCTAGGTGTGTAAATAAACTGTCCTGAAGTTGATACCACATGAATAACAGACAATGTTGGTAGTAGGAGACTCTGAGGCATCTGTGACGTTCACAAATGGAGACACACGCACCTTCTAATGACTGTGTAGGAGCAAAATAAATGAGTCTTGAGTTTCAGAAAGAACTGGGTATCCTTTTCACTCCTTAAGTGAAAAAAGAGCCAATGGAGGATTTGCAGTTTGAGCCTCGTTAGCTATAAACTACTTGATTTATGTCCCTTTCTTAGTGAGGGACCACCAAATCAGAAGGAATCAATGGAAGAAAAGCATATTCCCATTAACTGTACAGTACTACTGTGGTATTTTTTTAAGTTAGAATGAGTCAATGAGGACATAGGTAATGCTGGGGGTCAATGAGAACTAGGGTGACTTGGGGTGGGGGTCAGTGAGAACACAGGGAATGCTGTACTTGTTGGGACCACGTGGGTCTGTGATGTCCTGGTAAAGCCGAGACGTGCTCCACAGAAGACGTGAACCTGCATCTGGCCTGCGGGTCACTGGGAGTGCACCTGCTTAGCTCGTGTGACGCTCTGGGTTCCATACCCAATACCATAACAACAGCAAAACAGAAAAAGAAGCCTAGCAAGATGGCTCATCAGGTAAAAGCACTTGCCAGACAAGCCTGACCACTTGAGTTTGATTCTTGGACCCCACAGTGGAGAGGACAGGCTTCTGAAAGCTGTTCTCTGCCTCCATGGCTGCACCAAGGCACACCTATGCCCACACCCACAGACTACCATAAATTATACATATCCTTTGATGCTGGAAATACAGCTCTGTACAGAGTTGACCTGTATGTGAGAGGTCATTGCTTCAGTCCTCAGCACTGGGGATGGGAATTAAGCCTTTCCTGTGATACATGTGTGTGTCGGGGGATTAAGCCTTTCCTGTGGTATATGTGTGTGATCTCAGTACTTTAGAAGCCACAGCGGGAAGATCGCAAGTTCAAGGCCAGTCTGCATTAGACAGTGAGGTCCCGTTAGCTGTTTGTTGCTTTTATTATTTTTTCATTTTTTATTATTTTTAAAATTTATTATTATTTTATGTGGGGGGGGTGTTTTGTCTGCATGTATGTCTGTGTATCACATGCATGCCTGGTGTCTGTGGAAGCCAGAAGGCCTGGAGTTACAGATGATTGTGAGCCACCATATGGTTACTGGGAACCAAACCTGGATCTTCTGGAAAAATAACCATATTTCCAGCCACAGTCCTAGCCCCTTTAAAATACTTATTTTTCATATATGTGTATATAGATACACATATATATGAAATTTAACGAAATTTACAAAGTTTGTGTGTGTGTGAGTGTATGTGTGTGAGTGTGTGTGTGTGTGTGTGTGTGTGTGTGTGTGTGTGTTTGTGTTGGGCATCAGATTTTCTAGAGCTGGGCTTACAGGTGAACTTTATACATACATACATATATATATATATGGAAAAGAAGAAGGAAAGAAGGAAGTTTTTTACAGGAAACAACTTGGGCACAGGACAGATTGAGTAGATCTGTTTGTACATTGGTGGTTTCCTCTTTCCCTAGAATTCATAGCAGATAATCAAAAGCAAGTACTAATGGGTTTCTATGTTAGTGTTCAATAAATACTCTCTGAAAAGGGCCCTGATAACTCACTGTGGTGTCACTGCAGAGCAAAGATAAAGAATGACGGGTGTGTTTGCGACTCACAGCTGTGGCTTCCTCCTGTGTGAGAACACACCTTCAAAGGGAAAAATGGAGAAAACGTGCTAAAACCATCCTTTGCAGTGCCGCCGATTAAGGAGACCAGTTCAGTTTTCATAGCCTCCTTATTTTGTATTAAAATCAACCGTCTTTTGTCCTAAACAACTTTTAAGTAAAATTAACACCAAATCACACACACATACATTATATTTTCCTCTACTGTATTTTGGGACTTTCCTAAGGTTTGGAAAGTTTTCTCAATAACTTGCTCTTGGGCACTAAAGAGATGGCTCAGTGGTTAAAAAAAACACTTGTTGCTTTTCCAGAGAACCCAAGTTTGGGTCCCATCAGGTCAGTTGTCTCTCAACCACCTGTAAATCCAGCTCCAGAAAATCTGATGCTACACACACACACACACACATCACACACACAAATGCATACTTTGTAAATTTCATTAAAAACTTACTTTTAGATGTTCCATTTTCTTCTTATTCATCTTTCAGGATGACTCCATTGTTCTAGTTATACCACCATCAGCAAAAGTCATTTGTCATTCTTTTATCTATTGCTTAACCTGGTTGATGAATTATTCTCTTAGTATCCACTCATAGAAAGAATGGTACTGAGTGGAATCTATACTATAAATATACATTCTCAATTTGGTTTAAAATACATTTTAGAATATTTAATGATATAATATATTGCTTTCTAATACTATTTCAGAAAAATGTTGACATTAAAAAGATACATATGATCAAAAGTAGCTATAAGGAAGATCTCAGAACCCTGGAAACTTTGATGTACAAAGTAGTAAAATTGTTCATCTTCTTTCTACTTCAATTTAACTGCCTTAAGAACAGATGGCTCCCTTTAAAGTCACAATGACTTTGAAGTTTTTCTATTCCCAATTACACGTGTTCATTGGGATACCGAATGAAAGATCCAGTGGGCTATTCTTTTCTGGCAGGGAAACGTTTCATAACGCAGTAAAATAGCACAGAGCAGAACATCACAGTCCAGGGATCTGTAGTATGTTTGCACTGGAGGGTTCTAGGAATTTTGCAGAACATGACCAGTCTTGAAAGAAATCCTGTCGAATTTGGCATCTGGGTTTCCAGAGGAGCCTCAAAGCTCTGGAGCTTAACATAAACTTCAGAATCCATTATTCTGCTGAATTAATAGGACATACCCAAAGTGCGGCCTTTTAAGTTCTCTCAGGTTCTGGCAGTAGTGATGCCACTAGGATAGGAATCTGTCTCTTAGGTACTTGAGTGTGTTTACTAGGCACGGGGCCACATTGTAATAAAGCCAACTGTGCAGTGTCTGACCTGTGTCTCACCCTCTAGGCAACACTTGGATTGGAAGTGCTAAGGGCGGGCTCCTGCCGGTGTGTGCAGTAAACGCCACCACACTCCTGAGTGGATCGTGACTGAACCATTGGTTGTGATCCTTTGCCTGTCAGAGACTTAGGAAACGAAGACATCTCACAGTTGTTTTCAGTGACTGCTCAGGCTTCTTTGGCAGCAAGTGTTTACATGCTTGTCTGTGAGTTTCGTGTTTGTCTACAACTATTTTGCATAAACGATGTCAAAAAGACTTTTCATAAGTCAGTTCACATACTACTTTTTTTGTTCTTTCAGTTTTAAAATCCTACGTGATGGTGAAAAGTCATTTAACTACACAAATAACAGAATTAATAATGCATTTTAAACCCAGCCTCCACGTGCCTAATTAAACGAAAATTATAGAAACTTCAGTGGAGAGCTCAGCCACATGACATCAATTAATGACCTGTGGGAGTAAAATAAATCAAACATAAAGAGCATCCCTGATTACAAGACTTTCTGAGAGCTAGTGCTGGCTACAAGGAATCTGGGACTTTCTCTCTTCTAATTATCAGTGGAGGAAAGATAGTGATTTCTGGCTCAGGATAAAGGCAAGTTGAACTCAGCTGATCTTAAACTCTACTGGTCCTTGTAACTACAGCCAATGCCATCTACAATCAGTCAATGACTGAGAAGCCTAGGAACAATTCTTCTCTACTCAGATCTCTCTGTGTGTGTGTGAGAGAGAGAGAGAGAGAGAGCGCACACATGTACCCATGCAGGCGCATATGCCCACGTGTGCAGATCCGGAGCTAGAGGTGGACAGCGGCTGTATTCCTGATCACGTTCCATGCTGCTTTTTGAGACAGGAGCTCACTCACCGCAGTGATTGCTGATTGGCTAGACTTGCTGGCTAAGGAATTCTGAGATTCCACCCGTCTCCGTTCCCACAGCACTAAGGTCACAGATTTGTGTCACCGTGCCTGGAGCTTTACACACTTTTGAGGCAGGAGCTTTGCTCACAGCAAGAGTATGTTGCCCAGAATATAAGCGGTCACAGTGTCCTCTCGGGTGTTAACCATGTCAGGTTCACAGGACAACATGACCTGTGAATATGCAAGACCCAAGCTGAAGATAAAGTTTGCTCTGGGACATAATCCTGGGAATTACGATTGGAAGTCAGTCTGAGACACGATTCACAAGTCCACCACTAGTACTGACACGGCTGTGTTATTTTTTGAGTTAGATATTTGAGTGTGTGTAGTGAGGAATGAGACCACCTTCTGATGAAGACATCTCCACTCATGCCGCCTGTCGCTGACTGGCTAGGGAACATCTGGAGTGTTAAAAGGAGGCTCCTGCCGGTCTGGTGGCATAGATCCCACCATTCTGTTTACTCAGGCTGGCGTGCCACGCGTGCACCGGACTCTGCACTGTGCGGCTGTGTGCACACGTGTTGTTACTGCTGACCCTGG